TCTGAATAGGCTACCTGAGAGTCCATGTTATATAAATATGACACGAGTCGTCAACCTACTCAAAGACCTGATAACTACTGGTGATAAAGACTGACATATGAAAAACATCTTTAAAAATTATGACAGGGACGATGAAGTCAAAATTCTTCCAATGAAAGAGAACGACAATTAACTATAAGTAGACGCCATTGTTGCGCCATTTTGAAAAAGCGTCATATATTCATAACTGACGTCAATATAGTGCAAAGTTTTTGTTTCGTTTCGTTTTGTGCTGGTGTCACCAAACGTAATTATGTACTTGTACGCAGCATTCATTTTCGTCTGTTTTTTATGAACCGTTGAATTGTTACTAAGATAACTACATCGTACCAAATAGCACCCCCATTTAGCTAACACTTAATAATGAAAAAAAAAATGACCTCTTTTGTGAGTCGTCAACCACAAGCAAAACAAAGTTTGACGGCCAACAAACACAAAAAGCAAGAAGTCAAATTTATGTTAAATAAAAAGAAACGACACGATCTTGTCAAGTATTTACGAGCCCTGCTGGTGGAGTGTTTGATAAGTGCCCCTGATTCATACCACTCTCGCTAGGGGGCGTCGACAGTCATAGAATAGAAATGCCACTATGCTTGTGAAGACATGCTGTTGTGTTGTGGTTATTCAATGAGCACCGAGCGGGACGTCGACTCTCAATAAAGTTATTAACTCCTCAACCAGACAGTAACTCACTTTTTTCAAGGAATAGTTGACTGAATGTTATCTCCGCCCAACCGTTTTATAAATAAACGACATAACAAGACTCCTCGAATGGAAGAGCACGAAACCGTGACCAAGTTAATCGTCAAGTGCTCCTCCATCAGATGTTGCTAATTTTCATCTTTTATTCGTCAGATAACATCTTTTTCTTCTTGTGAATAGCTTCATTTATCAGTCTTTGTGACAATATTATCGATTCAAATTGAAACTTTCTACTTTTTTTCTCATAGACAGTTTCCTTTTCTTTCTTACATCAGAAGTTTGAAAACAGAAATATGTCTCTTTTTATCACGAGTAAGCAATGATTACATTTGGAAAGGGTGGGAGGATTTTACGTCAAACTAATAGAACCAAGAAAAATAGTAATGTAAAGAACGAATCATATACTATTGCAAGAATGAAACTTATACGTCAAATTGACGATATAAACTCTCCGAAAGGGAGTCGCATAGTTATATCAGGACACTAGTAGGGGTGAAAGTTATAGCTTTCTCGAGGCACACTTTATACTATTTAGTTCATTTTGACGTATGCGAATGTATGTGGTGATAAGACAAACCTATTTCCTAGCATGTCTCAATATGTAAGGAGTACTAAAACGAGCAATAAAGATGTCTCTTGAGTTATGTAAAGTTTATTTATTAGGTCTCGACGGCATATTTAACCCTTTGAACTATATATTGATATAGATTATTGTATAATTTACTGGTAAACCTTAATTTGCCCATAGTGTAAACAGTCTAGAGACGTGGGGATTTTAATATACTATACCCTTTTATCTTGTGTTAAGTGCAAGGATCAGTTGTTATTCCTTTTTTTACTATTACCTTTACAGGTTGTAAATGGAATGCGTACACCAAGGGGCTACATATGAACCAATGGAAGAGAGTTGACCAAAGTGCTCAAGGATTTGGAGTTTGCTGAAATCATACACCATCAAAATGCAGGATGTGGTACAGGTAGATGTAATATACGAAACTACGTATGGTTCTTATATGATAAATTTCCGAAAGAACCATACGTATTGTTTCTTATGGCAGATGGAAGTCACACAAAATATTGAATACTCAAAACTTAAATAAATACTTTATCAGTCAATGAACGTGGTCAACAAGTGTCTATATTCATCAATTGGACATACTAGGTGCCATGACTAAGGAATAAATTCTCTAAGGCTTCTACGCATGTTTCAAAATAACTTAGTTTAATGAACAATTCCTTAGTTTTATGTTAATAGGGGGATTCTGTTGTATAGTTATGACACCAGGGGGGTCCACTGATGAACAAACACTCATTTTTGCCAAGTTGATAAGTTAAATTTGTTTGGTCATTTTAAGAGGCAGTGTACCTTTAACACTGTGAAAGATCGACCACCAAAGATGTAAAGAAACTTTTCAATTACAATTCGGAATCACCTTGTAATGACACTTCTATTAAAATGGCTTAAGAATGTGGTACCATTCAATATGTGTTATATAAAGTGACTTGTGGTAGCTTTGGGAGGGTTGGAAGACCGTGTAATCCCTCATTACGTCCCCTTTCATCCATTATAACACGAAGTAATTGAGGAACTGTCGCTAGTGTTTACGCTAAGCCACTAATTTGTGAGCAAATATGTTCTCTTTATAACCAAATCAGTATTACAAAACCCTTGGGAATGAGTGTTCTTGTGTATCACATCAAATTAGTAAGCTAGGTTTCATAACAAATATTTGCTCATTTAAGCAGCATTAATCCATTTCGACACAGATCTCGTGAAATCTATCTTATCTCGCGAGATTTCTCTTTATCTCGTCCGCCATTATTTAATGAAGAATCAAAACCTTTGACACTGTAATTAAGATTTGAAATTAAGTTTTAATCACGTAAATATATTTTCAACCTGTTGGCTATTTATACACAAAGCTGTCTGAGTTTTAAGTGTGGTACAGAGTACAGATCTCGATGTGACTATTAACTATACAGACCAAAAATGCATTAGGTCTGGAGATGCTATTAAGAAGGAAGAGTAGCTCATCCGGGGAATATTCCTTCACTAACACGAGTGGGATATCGATACGTTTAGGGCCTGCGGCCAGACATAAAATCTCACTTTTTAGTAGAGTTGCTCCGATCCATTTTATGGGATCTATACAAAGCTCATTGTATCACGAATACGGGTTTTGACGGAATGGGTGTGGTTTAGACACGGTGTACATGCTGAACCATTGATGATATCAAAGCGTTGTTGGATATACTACATATTGACCTAATCGGAGTTGCTCCGATTGCTAGTTTCTATAGACTTTTCCCTTCTTCAGCATTTCATCCCAATAAAACGTTTTTGAATTGGTAAGACTTAACGGAGCAAAATCCCCATGTAGACCTAACATGAATGAATATATTTGACCAACCAACATCCCTGTATCCTCGAAAACACAGACGAATTCTTTAAAAAAACAAATATTTATAATGTTGTACACATCTATTGATGACATAATTCAGAATGAAAAAAACAAAGTAACAATTACATACATTATAAATAGATATATTTCAACTATAACGTTACAACTATATGGATTTTCAAAGGAATGTTTCAATTTTCAAACGGAAATTTAAGTGCCTTTGAAACGGTAAATATAAGATCTTAAATATACTCCCATGGGAACTAAAAATGTTGGACATATAAAGGCGTAAGTTTTACGAACAAATTCTAATTGATTATCTCATGCTGACGACAGTGACGACACGTGTTTCGGATACACAATCCTCGTTAGGACATCTTTTTGGAAATGGGTGAGTTTTGTTAGAACTTGTAGTAAGACATTTTCCAAGTCATGTGCATTTGTAACATTTTGATAATATTTTAGTTATCTCTCCTAAATGTCCGATAGATTTGCAATAATGTTCTTTCCTATTTCCAGGTCTGTAAATGCAAAACCGGATTTTACAACTGTAAACATAACAACACAACACATATAAATAAATAGTAACAATATTCTGATGTTCATAGTAAATCTTAAACATTTACACTAACAATTTTTAATGTAGGCTGGAAATCATAAATAAAACCACTAAAACTGTAATGTTTGCATGTTATCTTATCTTCCATTATTTCATGTTCTCTGAAATTATTTGCAAACATTTTAATTAATGTTCATAATAACAATAAGAAATTTCATGTTTCTGATATAATCATATTGATAATATTTCTTATGTTCACTGAAAATTGTTATTCATTTTGATAGTTAATATTATTAATGTTCATAGGAGAATGTTTTGATAACACTAACAAATTTTAATATTTGCCGGAAATCAGAAATTATGTTGCTTATAACGTTTAATGTTCGCTGAAAAATGTGATAAAACAACACTAATGTTTTCAAAGATTGGTAGACTGTAGAGCAATATCGGTGACATTTTAAAATGTTCGAGTTGAAAATCCGAAGCCATTAAAATTTGGTATTCTTATGTTCATTGGAAAGTCTTTGACCAGAAGTAACATGTATTTAAATGCTGGATGAACACGAGAAAACTATAATTTATACATGAATTTCAATTCTCTCTTGGGAATATTAAGTTACAACTCTATAAACTTAGAAATGTTCAGTTAATATAAATTATGAGAAAATTCAAATTTTCAATTAGTGGAGCACCATTTAAGCATTCTAGTGCTTTCTGAACACTAAGATCTCATTTTTCACGCTTGAATTACAGGAAACTATAATATTGTATTAAGCCATAAGCTCTTAGCTGAAATATCGATAGACACAAAAATTTTAACTGGAATAATTCATATATATTGAATACGAAAAACAAACAGGTTTGACACAATAAAAACTGCATTTTGAAAAGTCTTTGAAATGAATTGTTTACTAATTCACAGGGTTCGATTTTGTGTAATATCTTAACAAGTGTCCACTATACTGCGAAAAGATATTCTGAAGTCTGCTTGATGCCTCTGATATTGAACCTTGGTCCGATGAAACTCAATATAAGTTTACATCACTCAAAGTGTTCACTTTATCTATTCTATTCAACATCTAAATGAATTCTATCACAGTAATTAGGAATTCTCTTTCGATAAATATGAACTAAAATATACACATCATTTGTCATGGATTTTCAAATTCTATTGCAGTAGTTAATGTTCCATAGCGATTTGTCCTTGGGACTAAAGCATTTGAACCACCCACACTTGCAATGTCGATAAACAAGTTATTGCCATTGGAAAAAGTGGTCCTAGATGTTGATCCAACAAACTACTTATCCGGACTATAGCAGCGATTACTGTCGTGTATTGGCGGTTTTCTATCCAAACCATTTAACATTCTTTCAATACTCCTAATATCAGTTCCATGGTTAGGGGTGCTTGGAGACTGCTGGTGGGCAGGTAATGGACTCTTTCGAGGAGAAGATGGTATGTGTGTGCTACTTACAGGAGAAGACAACAGCGGACCACCCCTTGGTGATTCACCTAGACCATAATGTCCACCAGGTATTGACACCGGGCTGCTATTAGTAACCATTGTAGTTTTTGTCAAAGGGACTGTGTACGGACTGAACCTTGGAGCAGATCGAGGTGAGAACATGGGACCTAAGGGATGTGAGCTAGTTATATGAGACATTGACAGCTGCGACGTTAATCCTTGATAAGACTGATTCATCAGATGTGAGTTAGATAAGAGACTATGAGATCCTAACATCGGCCCAGAATTGCTGGAATGCAGATGAGTCGGAGGTAGGTGTGGCAATTCAGGCGGTGATCCTGGTAAAAGTGGAACTGTGAGGTGTCCGTGTGGATAAGAGGAACTATTGAGCAGAGCTGAATTCAGAGGAAATGGTAAACCTCCAGAAGAGTTTGGAAATACAGATCCTGCGCAGAGATACGGAAACATGGGATGACTCACAGAAGGTTGCATTACAGTTACATTGGGAGGACTAGTGTCCTTCCCTAGCAAACGTTCGTGATCTTTTAGGTCTCTGTATTTCAGAAAGTGACGCTCTCTTTCAGATCGGTGGTAAGTTCCGGGGGAATAATCAAGCTTTTCTCGACGCGTAGGCGGAGGTTCGTTATCACTATGCGAATCATTATCGTATCTTTCAAAACTGTCTTTTGTGTCTGTTCGCTCACTTTTATGAAGAGTTTGATTTTCTTCTGACTGACTATGTTCCGTATCGTTGTCCAGAGAGTGGGATCTAGGAGATAACTCGGATGCTCGAGAGTCGTCAAGGGATCTACTGTTGGGATATTGGTCTTCAAAGGAATCTTCCCCCTTATCCGCAATGTGTTGTTTTTCAAAAGGGGATTCCGAGAGTCTTGGGGGTTGATAAACACCCTGTTCTTGTAGATAAGACTTTTCATCACCGACGTCGATTTCTATAAAGATCAAATAAGTAATGGTTAGCTCATGAAATTCGATAAATTAGGGTTCATTTTGAAGATACATGCTTTAAACGTGCATTTCCCTTACTAAACTCATTTCAAACGTACCAATACCCGACACGTCCGAGAAGGCACCGACATTTCAAAAACATAGCGCAAACAATTCTATTTGGACTTACCTGGTGGTGTAGGAGTAGAATGACGTATGGGTGTCGGTTTCTCATCCGATTCAACAACACAAATATCCAGATTTTCTTGATCTTCGTCGTCACTTCCGGCTGATTCTTCATGTTTGGTCTCCGTGGATGTAAACGTGGAGGAATGGTCACTGAGAAGTCGTCTTAAATTATAAAGAAAACATGGGAATTTAGATCACCCTAAAAAAAGGGGGGGGGGAGGGTAGTATTATTTTCATAGATTTTAAACTTGCTGTTCATGGTATGGTAGGAGACAGGAGACAACTATAAGCCCCTTTGCCCGAGCGAATTTGGCAAGACAATGTTAATTCGAAAGAAAACCGATAGAAAAATATCCCTTGTGCTTTTACCAAGGCACCACACATAGATAGTTCAAAAGTCGCAACTAAATGAAGTGGTGTTTTGCTTTTCTGCTTCATTTTATGCAGTGCCATGAAGCGTGTAATAAGAAATAAATCGCAAGGGCATTAGTAATCTTTTGAATGCTTATTGTCGAGGGATTTTTATTGCAGTGTCCATAGGTTCATTTGCCATCCGAAGAAATCAAGAACAGTATTTAGCTAGATTTACTACTCAGGAATAAGTTGATGCCATGATTATTGACCGCTAAATGGAAATTACAGTTATCAGTTTAGTGTAACCAAATAACCGTTGAACTTGGACAATCTCGCTAATAGTGCCGAATTTCACCAATTACTCGCTATTCGTTATAACAGAGTTACTGGTCATAAATTGATATTGGGGTTAATGCAATCAGCCGCCATTTTGAATGGAGAATTTGGCGCCAATCATAGAATACTTGGTGCGAGCTTTGTCTAACTTCCGATTCCAATATGTTCCAAATGAACCGTCCAATTAACGTAATTGTTTTACAGATTTCCAGATCGTTTTACGCCTAAATTTGATTGGATGATGAAATTGTCGTCTGTTAGTTAACGTCTCACGTTACCGACCCCACAAACCGAGGTAATTCATTAGCTTCGCTTATTATGTACTCTTCCGCCACAAGTCACGAAAGGCCGCGGATTTCAATAGATCTCATTTGGCTAACAAAAGAGTTCGCGTATAACCGGTACTTCAGAAGATAATGTTAGTTAAATTGCTTATGGAAGAAGTAAGCATTCGTCAGGAAATAAGGCTAAGAGAACTTCTGCCTGCAAATTTAGCTTACTTGTCTTTTTATTAACTCCAAGAATCGACAAGTCGGTCCATTTGACTCAACCACGATCTTAACAATAGTGAATTTGATTGAAGTGTTTCCTTTGGCTAAATTAGCGTGAATTCAGGAGTAAATGTTTTAATTTGATGATCGCCTATCGAGTCAAAGCAGAGAGATTTCAGACCACAACTGCCAATCATAACAGGCAAAACCAGACGATGTAAAGAGGGAAAACATTTCAATGACCTTTTCGATGCTTTATTTGTCAAAAAAGAAAATTTTTGAAGAGGCAAAACACTGTTTTACCAATTGGTTTCCTTTATGAACACTTAACTGGAAATTGTTTACGAAAAAGCAGCGTAATTTAATGGCACTTGATCTGCTCTATTGAAAGGCACAGACAGTGGTTGGGGATGTTTTCGAATGTAATAATGGTAATGAGTCTAAAGAATTACCTTGCCAAAAATAAGATGGGATAAGAATTAGAATAAGGTTCGAGGACAGGACATTCAGAACTGGAAGGACAAAACAGAAGGAGACATGATGGGATAGAAGGGATTGGAAGGATAGAACGGGACAGAGGTGTAACGGGACGGGATGTACTGCTGAAAATAACAATAAAATACCTACTTCTTTTCTCTCTTGCCACCACCCGTGTCCCTAAAACCTTTAGCAAATGGATTATGGTTGATCTTCAACTGTGTTATCTGCAAAAAATCAAAGTTAAAGTTAAGAAAAGACAGGGATTGAAATACTACATTCCTTTTTGAACCTCATTGGGCTTATAGACGCGTAACGTCGTGTTATATCACCTACTATTTTACGATTATCAACTGTTGAGAAGTCTTTAAGGTATCAGCTTGTAGCACACGGGTCCTTGGATAATTGGTTTTTTCTGAAAGCACTCGAAATGTAACACAAATGATTTTGACATCAAATTGCATTCTTATACGATACTTGCAAACAGTTCTGACCGAAACTGTAATTTTAAGCATAATTTCCTGTGTTGAGATTCAATTTGTTAGTGAAATTATAGGCATGGTGGTTTTCGACGATAAAAACTGAACTATATGCCTATTATTCTCATATATGTTTCTACAATATAATGTGGGCGTATCAAAACAAAAGCCCCCTATTAAATCTAAGTGTTTCTAAGCAAATAATTGCAAAATCAGCAAATAATACTAAAACACCTAGATGTGACGAGAAATGTCACAAGGATAGTTCAAGTGCTCAAATCGGAAACACTATGGCGTTGAATGGCAATGTTATTAAAGTTGAAATAACTTGAAAAAGCGTGATGTGTGACGAACATGCACATTGCTTGTTCTTGTAAAAGTGAATGACCAACTTAACGTTTCAATATTACTTATATGTTTAGATATTTTCTTTCGATGTATTAAACGAAACAAAATGGAATTCAACGCTCGATACGTTAGATAACGCCAAAAAAAATATTGTCTATACAATTATAATAATAGCCTACCCTTTTTCAATTTCCAAACTCAACGAAAAAACCTTTCCATGATCGCTTCTTAATAATGTAAAGATATTGCGAATTGCATCCAATACCTTGACTGCAATAGCCACCTTTTCTTGTTGACAGCAGTATGTTATTGCAGCAAGATAGACTAAACAATTTGGTTGCGCATGTTATCGGGGGCTGCATTTTGCTGTATTCCCCAGCGTACAATCAAATCAAATCGCTGCATTTACTTCTGTTATACAAGAAAGATTGAGGTTGCACTCAAGGTATTGGACGCAGTTCGTAATGGCTTGAAGACCATTGATGGTTTTCACTTCATACAACCCAATCATGATAAAAGGAACGCAGTAATAACATGGATATAATGACCAGTGTGTTTATGGAATATGTCTTCTTACCTTTTCATTCTGGTAGGCCGTCACGGCGATAAATTCCATCTCTTTAAATACATAAGTTCTAAAAGCACTATAGGGGAGTTTCAAGATGTCGTTTGCCCTCACTAGGTGAAAACGTGGCTGATATTTATGCATCGAGTTTAATATTGTCTGAAATGAAAAGGAAACATTAATAACACCCAGTATAAAGCCACACTGGTAATGATCAAACGGACAAAGTGGTCCACTACATGTTACAGACTAAGACAACTTTAAGATGAGAATCTTACTCAAAATTCTCCCTTCTCTAGCATTTGTATGACCAATTATATTGATGAACTGAAATTGAAATCGTTTAATTCCATCAATGACAATTTAAACAGTGCTAAAAGCTTGATAAACCAGTCAACGACAATTTGAACTGTGCTCAAAACTTGATGAACTAGTCTTCGACAATATCGATTTCGCTTTAAGCTTGATGAACTAGTCAACGACAGCGTGAACGTGCTAAAAGCTTGATGAACTAGTTAACGACAATGTGAACTTCGCTATAAGCTTGATGAACTAGTTTACGATAACGACAACTTCGCTTTAAGCTTGATGAACTAGTTTACGACAACGACAACTTCGCTTTAAACTTTATGAACTAGTCAAAGACAGCGTGAATTGCACTTTATACCCAATGAACAAGCTAACGACAATGTGAACTGTAATAAATATACAATCTTATTCCATCTACAGCAAATTGAACTGCACTTAAAGTCAAACAATCTGATCGAAGAGTGGGAAAATCAACACCAATTAATTTTAGATGACAGTATCGGAAGATTGTATGCGTGGTTAGACTAGCCTATTGTGTTAGAAATTAACCTTAATTTAGCCTTTCTCTGGGTTTAATTAACTTTCTATATGAACAAGTTCATTATCTTGTAATTAAGAGACCATATACATATCGATATTAAAGTGATATTGCCGTCTAATCGTCTTCCGATTCGCTTTGCTACCTTGAGCTCAAATTCGACTGTTTTATTTCTTTATATCTTAAAATTTTTGTAGAACCTCAGTTATATAGTAAATGTCTAAAGAAATTTGTATAACTTTAAGTAATCGATATAAAATTATGTTCCCGTCTTGTGAGCTTGGCCAGTGCTTCTACAGAAGAGTATCCTCTATAACTTTCTATGTAATGCCCACGTCCAAAAAGTGAATCATTTTTCCAACTAATCTGCACTGAAATTATATGCTAAACTATTGGTACGATCTACTTGACTTCTACTTTAAAGGAAGCAGTCATTACCATTCATGATATTCAAAGAAACTGGATAAAGGAGTCTATCAATGTCTACGAGTGCTATTAAAGTATTCAGTCGAATTTAATGTGTAGCAGTCCGATGATATTCAAGATAAGACAAATGATAAAAGTCTGTCAAATTGTAATAACCAAATACGATACTGACGACTTTATCGCTGTATTATCGCATTTTATCGTTAAATTCACGTCTTTTCTCGTCAGAACGTCACTAAAGAGGCGGAAAAATGGCGGCCATGGAGCGAGGAAATCTGTCTAGCTATCACTTGCCTTTCCGCTTCTTTAAATCCAACTTCATATTTCTTTTGACAAGAGATTATTAATCATAAAACACGAAAATGGCTTTTAGCTTCCACATGGCATCAAAGTTCCATTATAATAGACGGTATTAACCTTTCATATCTGACGAACATCGACAGTAATCATCTAGATGGCGTTACGAATTCTTCACGTGCTTATCTGACACTGAAACAACTCAATCCGGGTCTGATTTGTCTATGAATAAATGTTTTTCAAATGAGATTTAGCCAATAGTATTTTCAGTGGTAGAACTTGAATAATTCCTTTTTGTTGCTGCATTGTAAAAATGTTCCAGACTCTTTGATGGCATAAAGTAACTGGTTATTTATTATACCAACTGATTGGGGCTAAATACCAATAACATTTTTCAGTATAAAAATTAAGTATCGGGTCCTTCTACAATAAATGAAAAATGTACTGTCGTCGCTTCTACATTTTTAACCATTGGCTGTGATTCGGCATTGGGCGTAGGTTGTACTTCAGAAAATTTATATTAGGCTATATCAACTAATAAAGCAATCTTTATCTAAAAACAAAACGTTCGGCTATACTTCGACAATCTGCCCCTTGACTTTAAACAAACCTTCATATAAATGCAGAAGAATAATAAGACAATTACCCTACGTTCAGCAAGTAATTACTTCAAACCACCAATGGAGCCACAAATCTTGGGATTTTTTCTTTCCCTGTGTTTAACTATACGTTTACATTGCTCCTCAAATATTGAAGGTTAATTAATAGTTTGGGTGCGATTATTTGACCGTAATCGACGCCTGACATGTTAATTCGTTTCATTTGTTTTGTCGATTGTAATCTTTAATAATCCCGACAGGCGTCGTACAGAGTTTCGCACTAAAGGTGAGGTCGGTTGAAAAAGATACGAAACGAATACTTCTGAAATACGAACTTTAATTTGTGAATATGTACAAATACACGGAGTTTACCAATTAAAAAGTTTTCTGTGAATTTATATATTTTACATGAATAACATATTATGTACGCTTTCTTTAAAAACTGCAACCAATGCTGCCGACGTGCGTTTTGGATACAAAATCCTTTTCTGGACATGTAGTTTTTGACATAGAGCTTATGGTGTACTCACTGATTGTGTGCAGCAACTCAACAATATTCTTCAAAATGCAGACTATCAAAAATAGATTTTCACCATTTATTCCTTCAAAATCGATAACATGATCATTGCGATTTTATTCGATTGAGTATGGCCCCCTTTATATTGTCTATATTGTAAGAAACAAAATCTCATTAAACAAAAATCTTACCAAAAGTTATTTTTATTACTGTGACTTAGGTGCGGAATTTCATTCATATTTTTCCAAAAGTTCTCACGCATGTCAAAATGTGCCAAATTTAAACATGTACAAAGAGAAACGGATATTTCTAGTAATGCAACACTTCATATCAAATATGAATTTCCGTCTTATGTACTTAAATACGATAGACTCTTGGCGACGATTTTGTCGGCACTAATTCGGATAGGATCAGTTCTCGCCGCCATTCCACTGTTATCTCAATTTCTCGTGGCACGCGACGAGACTTGCAGTACTCGTGGAAAGGTTGAATGAATAACCTCGGTTATCCAGTAACGATATTTGAAGTTTATCGTGTAGGTTATCAAGTTTTTTTTCATGTTCCACTGACATAATCTGCTCGTAAAAAATAAGATTCAATTATCGTTATGCAATTTGACAATTAGTCTGAAATATGAGGACGAGTTGCATTACAGTCGGTAAGACCGTTAGAATATTGACGTCATAATATAACAAATGGCGACAATAGGTTACAATCTCGGAAGGCGTGAGAAAGTTTGGTGATCTTGAATAAACCATCCTTCCTCATTATTCCAGTCGACCGAGCTGTAAATGGACACTAATATATCCTGAAGAGATCAATGCAAGCCGAGCAGTGGCGTTTTTAGGAAACATTAGTTGAGGAGGAAGAGCAGGGGCAACAAAATTTTCCAAGGGGGCCACAGGCTATGCTTTCCCATGTAAATTGATACAAAGTTTGAAAGTGGGGGGCCAGCCTCTTTTCTGGGCCTCTCCATTGAAACGCCACTGTAGCCGATGACCAACGAGTGGGCAAGATTCTCTACTTGTTATCCTTGTGGCTTCTAACTAGAGGTATGAGACAAGGTAGATATCTTTGACGGCTACTGTTCAGTTTGTCTGTTAACGTTATTAATCCTTTTAAACACATGAATATGTAGGTGCATGTCTATCATCACTAATGGATAACGAACTTTGCTGTTACGTGATGAATTAGACCGTCATATGATTACTAAACCCATTAAAAGCCTATTAAGCAGAAAACCAAATGTAATTTAGCTATGAATCGAATAAACAAACATGTATGCTGAGCAAAGAAATGTCACATTTTTAATACAGTTGAGGGGTGAATGGGTTCCTGACATTAAAAGGGTCAACTTAGGTCGCGGTATCGACTGACACTTATTCACACCCAATTCTAAAGAATTTAAGAAGGAAAGGCGCAAAGAAACAAGCAAAATGTGTTATATTCAAATAGATGAACACAAATGATTGCGAAATATACCCCATGTAAACACATTACTGAAAATGTGCACTTGAGAAAATAATACACAATCGAAAGTCCTCTTTTTATAAATAATAAAATTGAGTTTCTAAATTCTCAGTATTATCCAGAATGTCAAATGCCACATCTAGAACTTTGTATCTTTGGTGGAATAGGTTCAAGAGGGGGTGGGTTCCTCTGTGGAAGAGATTCGTGGGAGTGTTTTGTATAAAGAATTTAGTGTGAATGGCTTCTGTATAAGAAGAGGTTCGTGTGAATGTCCTTTCAATAAAAATAGGTTGGTGTGAGTGTCTTCTTCAGAACCCGTTCTGGGGTGTTTTCTGTGGAAGAGGTTCATGGGGGTGTGTTCTTCTGAAGCGGTTCCTTGGTGTCTTTTTGTGGAAGAGGTTCGTGTATATGTCTTCTTCTGAAGAGGTTCAGTGGGTGTATTCTGTAGAATAGGTTCGAGTGAGTGTCTTCAAATTCATAAGAAGCGGTTCGTCTTCTGTAGAATCGGTTCGTGTGGTGTCTTCTATGGAAGAGGTTCGTGGGGTGTCTTTCTGTGGAAGATGTGGGACGGGCTCTTATTCTGAATATCCTTTAAATTAAGGCCTACGTCACTAGATGTAAGCCATTATCTATGAAAACCCTTGTATATTTACAGCATACGAAAATAGATCTTATACCCAATTTACCAAAACTGGGTAACGTAAGATTCAAATGAGTGGGAAGTGATATATCTATTTAACTTCATCTCAATTGCTGACTAGCTTACATTTCATTGTTGTCAGTTTTAATAGATTAATATCGTCATTTCCGGTGAGATATATTTTTTCAGAATCTTGTTTTGTAAATGTAAAAGATCGATAAACTATTTGTAAGAAACCCATCATCAGGCCATTGTCTCGTTAGCGAAAGGTAAACTTTCTCACGCTGTTTTACAAAAAATCTACATTGTGCTTCTCTTGCTTCAAATGTTGAGTCATCATACTTCTTAAATGAAACAGACACATCAATTGGCGGCTGCAAAGGAAAGGGTGTTCAGTGGCGACACCCGTGGGGGTACATGGGGACATTTGCCTTCCTAGAAAATGGTTTGTACCCCGAATTGAACCCCCACTTCACTTCTTACAAATTATAAGTAATAATAAATTATAATTTTGTATAAGATAAAATATATTCTTCAGGAGGCACCATAAATTATATTTTTCTACATTTTTCTTGGTGAAGAGCCCTCTCAGACACTTAATTGGGGGCTTGTGCCAATGGCGGTTTCACAGAGCTGCACATTTTGAATTTCAAACTTGACAGTTATACAGTTGCACCCAAATCCAAAGGTCAACAGCCGCCACTTCTTCTAGCTTTTCAATCGCCGATTTAGTTGGTTTGTAACACTTGCTCAGGACATTTAACGATTTCACTTGTCAGAATTAGAACCAAATACACTTGACAATTCCAAATAACAAAAACACACAAAAGTGGAGAAAATGGAAAAACTGAAAGCACGAATTCGCAAACCTTATGTGAGAACTTTAACACGTTATATCCGCGCTGTTTTTCATTGTCACCGACAAACAAAAGATGAAACAAGAATTCAAATCACCAGATTGTTTTTCGACCTCAGACTCAAACTTTAAGCGAAATGAAACAAATAAGACACATATTTTTTCGTCCAAAAAATGAAATTTTCCCAACATTTTGGCTTGAATCGTTGGCGCCAGTCTATATTTTCTTACCACCGTTAAAATTTGTACATAATTGCGCATGTCTGAAATAATACGGCAACCGTAATGAAGTCGATTTTTGGCAACGATTCAAAATGGCGGTCTGAAATATCAAACAATGTTTTTGGTTCTCTTGGTGTTTGTTTAGTCCCAATAGATATTGATTGTTAAATAGTGACAAATTTCTCAGTCAATTTAGAGTGTGGACGATGGATCGCAATAGTCCTGAAAAACAGGAATTGTCCTATACTACACACTAAATTAACCGTATACCAAAAAACTAAACTAAATAGGCTGTAATTAGTGTCTTTAGTGATGCTTAAGCTTGGTTCCAATAACTGCCTTACTTAAAAGAACATATACGCAGCTATTATCATTGGAAACAATACCATGTAATCATCTTGTTGAAGGCAAAAATATGATAGTATCACCAACGGCGATTCCGCAGACGCTTCTATGGAAAGGGACAGGATGCATTGGAGTCAGCAGACAGTCGATTGTGTGCTCATTGAAGAAAAAATACTAAAAATCAACTTACGAAATGATAACTTACAAAACCATGTTTATCAGAAATATTGTTTGTAAGCTTGAGTTTATGGAACGAGACAATTTTCTGCATCCATTGTTCCCCTGTACTTGGTGAATCTGGATGGATATACATTCTCTTGGGCATTTCCGGATCCGCTTTTCCAGCAACCATCCATTTACTATTGTGAAATTTATAACGACAATCATCAACGGCTACGATATCCATGAGTAGAATATATTTAGCTTTCTTATCCAATCCTGAGACCTTCACTTTAAAAGGTGGAAACATTCGTCTGAAAATAGAAAGAAACTTCCATTAAGCATCATAGAATCAAACGGACAACTAGCCCACGATAGCTACATTTGAGAATGAAAAAAACCGGCATATTCTTAATGGAAATAACCATAGCATAGACGATAGCATTTCTTATATGAATTTTCCTCTCAAGGGGAAATAACTGGTAGAATATTCTAAAGTATATGTTGGTCAAATTTCTTAGCCATAAAATTTAAAGAGAATGTACTAGGGACACTGATAGCAATCATTTGCGCGATTCAAATTTTCTGTCAGGATGTCTGTGGTTCCTGTAATTCTTCTAAAAGTGAGTTTTGTATAACGTCACTGCTGTATATAGATTTGGATAATATTGGTACATTTTGCGATAGGAACGGGATAAAAAGCTTAGTTTTAGGAATTTCCAGAACGATAGACATCTGATTGAAAATTGGAATAATGCAGATCGATGACATCAGTATCCGATACCCATTAAAAGTTTAGAATATCTCTTTACAGTCCCTTTTTATTACTATATATCCATTGCAGCTTTGTTGCTGGCATATCCACATAGGTAAGCTAAAAGAAGTGCCGATTTACTTGTGGGAAGTAAGGAACACGTGAATAATGATCGTCCCAAACAAACACAATATATCAAAGTTCTCACAAAAGATATCTTATTTTTCTTGAAATATCTGTAAAAGGAAAAATTTCTTGGAGACATAGAGTTGAGAAATGATGTTTACCTACAGGTATTGGCTCAAGTTTTTAGGTCTCAGTTCATAGCGAATTGCGAATTCTCTCCTTAATGTTGACCAAGTCGCGACCGAGGTGTCGCCGATCAGTTTAAATTGGCTTTCAAAGAAAACTGTTATATGAATTAACAATCGACGGATTTGTCAACTGAGTTTTAGCACTTTGCGTGACATTCCTTACAGGTTTATAGTTGTCTTAAGGCAGAACTGTCTGCAATCATACGAGTTAAAATTGTTCATGAAGTCAACCAACCCTTACCCAATGTGTACAAGGCACTGTGAAACTCAATCTGAATAAGTTTTGCTTTTTTACACCATAATTGTTAAAAATATTCAGTTAGTTTTAATCATGTATTCTTTGATTTTAAGCACTCAATTTCGGCCCCTGTAATACACTATGCAGTGTGTAATGGCATACATTTAGCAGATCAGTTGGCTCTTTTTCGATTATCCGAATTGGTGTAGACTTGCCAATGCCATACGACGTGATATCATATATTCTGTTGAACGAGAATGTTTTGTTATATTATTATTTTAAAGATCTTTTTAAAGTGTTCCAGACCAAAAACAGTGGTTACAGTAGGCTAATGGTCATGAACGGCAATAACGAAATTGTCCGAATTTTAATAGAAGGGTGTAAAAAGTTTGATCAAATCGAACTATTTAAGTTTGTCTCGGAATTTTGTCTGGGGTAGCCATAAAACAACGGTTTGATACATAACAAGGGAGTAGAGTGATGTTTCTATTAAAATAATATGTGTGGGGAATATTATGTTAATGTGTTTTCTATTATGGGTAGGTAAGTGAATCTGCTATTACAGTGACATTGATTGCAGAAACCTTCCTGGTTTTGAACTGGATTGTTTCGTTCATGCATTTTGACCATGGCAGTAAAAACTTATTTCAAAAAGAGCAGAATAGGAAATCTGCCTCAATTATTTATAGGACCGGAAAATATATTTTTCACTTAGGACAACCTGGAAATTTAATTTAGTGGCTTCTAAAGTAAGAAGGTTGGGGGATGCGGGGTGCTAACTGGTGTCATCTGAAACGGTACGCCAGGTTTTGATGTCTTGTAGACCTGCAAGTATTTTACTAGGAATATCAGTATTGGATCGCATTTAAAATTCGTATGTAATGTAATGCTATGAAATTTCATATTTTTTCTGTGTTTGATATTTTAACAACAATAACAATATTCTTTCAATGATGTTTGCATTGGATGACGGTAAGATCACTAGTCGTAATAGTCACAACCTTGGTCGTCTAAGGATAAAACAGTGAATATATTAATAGTAAATAGTCATAAATGTTACGTTTGTTGTGATTTGGTCCCTCGAGGCTTATATATACTCACTTAAACATAATGAAAGTATGCACCAAGAACAATGCAATGATCTGTAAACAACTTTGAACATAATGAAAAAGACTTTTGGCTTTATTTCACAATGTTGTCGTGTTATGAATAATAAAAAACGTAAGAAAAGTAATTGATGGTGCAATTGTTTTAAAGTTACTCCGTAACTATCAGAAGCTTATCTTTGTCGACGTTTCTTTACATAAATACTTAAAAAAAAACTTGCAGGTTTATGATTTCCGTATACCAATTCGTTCCATGTGACTTGGCGAAGCTTATCTTTCGATCTTTCCGTCTCAAATATGGTGACATCAATCAGGGTTTGTGTGCAGGCCAATTAATTATTTAATGAACTTGGCTGTCAGGAATTTCGTTTCGTTTTTTATGCTTATATATTGACTTACATGAATTGTGTTTTTTAGTAAACCAGTCATGCATAAGGTAATAAATATGACCCAAATTTCGTCAATATGTCTCATTTCATTAGGTCTGATATAGATATACCATAAATATAAATTGAATACCAATGAAATCAATAACGTTACTCGTAAATGAGAAATTAACGTGTCTGAAGTTTAGAAATTGATATGAAATAAAAGAAATGGGTTTGACTATTAACCGAAATGAAGCCAATGAAACAATCGATTGCTTCAGATACCTGTATTCTATTAATACGGTTATTTTTATGAAAATTATTATTTTCAAATCACATTTCTGGAGAAGAGAAAGCTCATACATTATTTCAGAGGAAATCTTATGACTGAAATCTAACAATGTCAGATTTAAAAAAAATTAAATATTCTTGACAAATATGGTCATTATGTTATTGACTCAATCATCCGGACGGATTTAAAAAAAAAGTAAAGAGTATTTTGATTGCCTAATCTTGGTTATTACATAATATTGACCTATTCTGTTGTAAATGTAATGAAAATAATTATTTAAAATAACCTCCCTTGATTTATATATATTTATTTCAGTAGGGACGCAGGCTGAAATAGTTCAGTTGTCTGAGATCGCACAGCGTGAATATCTGAGTAACAACATGTTTCAGGTTCTGTTTTAATATTTCTATATTGCTCTTCAATTGATGTATTGAGCATTATTTATTAAACAGTGGGAATTTTTTGTAATTATGTATAACTCCTTACTATTAGTAGAGCACTGTTTTAAAATATTTTTTTTACAATAATACAAAAGTGTATTTCAGTTATCATCATTATCATTAATATTATCATCATTATCATCATAACTGTTGTCGTTATCATTATCATCATTTCATAACTATTGTCGTTATTATCATCACCATTTCATAACTATTGTCGTTATTATCATCACCATTTCATAACTATTGTCGTTATTATCATCACCATTTCATAACTATTGTCGTTATTATCATCACCATTTCATAACTATTGTCGTTATTATCATCACCATTTCATAACTATTGTCGTTATTATCATCACCATTTCATAACTATTGTCGTTATTATCATCACCATTTCATAACTATTGTCGTTATTATCATCACCATTTCATAACTATTGTCGTTATTATCATCACCATTTCATAACTATTGTCGTTATTATCATCACCATTTCATAACTATTGTCGTTATCATTATCACCATTTTATAACTATTGTCGTTATTATCATCACCATTTCATAACTATTGTCGTAATCATCATCACCATTTCATAACTATTGTCGTTATCATTATCATTTAACTACAAAACGACATTGTACTTATAGATTAATAAGTACTCATTTTCGAAATAGGGTTATTTTTATTCATCCGATTAATCGGTGAAATTACAATAAAATTGCACTAGATTCCCATCTCATTCTAACACAAGATTTTCCGCTAATATCCAATCTTCTGCGTTTATGGTTCCGCTGCAACATTTCTCTAATTGTCGAACAATTTTAGTTACATTTCAATACAAATATAATAGATAAGATCTTTCAGAAAGCAAATGAAAAGAATTTTTTTAAACAAGTTGAAATTATTCAAGTCAATATTATAAATAATGGAGAGATAATTAGGCCTAGAACGTTTAACAAAAAGGTAGGAAATGAAAGACAAAGATAATGAGACAAGAATCAATGGCTTTCATCTCCTTCGCCACACTATACTCGCTACATATCGAACATTTACTCGTTACATTTCAATGATCAAACTTGGCAATCTTTTAAAAAATACACTAATGAAGTTTTAATTTGCCATTAGTTTTTAAAGGACGATATACCAGAAAATTCAATAAAAAAAAAAAAAATCACAAATACAACATGAAACATAATTCGTTGATATCAACGAGTTAAAATTTTGAAAACAGTTTAAGTGCGGATATCTTATACAGTTATGGTGGCAATAAAAAGTTTTGATCGACTTATTTGACGAAAATATGTTTGGGTCATTTGCAAACAGTTCTACTATCAATTGAAATATTGAAGTTAAAACAATTTAGGAAATTTATAGTAAAATAGAAAAATTTCAATAAAAAAAAAAACAATTATCATTTATTAATTTATTTATCATTTTTATCATATTTATTTATTCATTTGTTTATTTATTTATCATTTATTTATCACTTTTTTCATAATAAATAATTTATTTATCATTTTTATCATATTTATTTATTCATTTATTCATTTACTTATCATTTTATCATTTTTATCTATTTATTTATTTATTTATTTATTTATTTATTTATTTATTATATTTTCTTTATTTATTTATATTTTAACTTCACTATATTAAACAAACATTCACAAAATGTTATAAATATGCATGACATTTAAAAACTAAAAATATGCAGATACATCACAGATGTATAAATTTAACATTGATTTTTTTACATGTCAAAATGGCATTAAAACCGAGTTCAACAGAGTTAATAATAAATAT